ATAATGTCCTATTTTCTAGCTTTATCTTAGGTTTTTTCTTAGCCCATAAATGGTTTCTTAAGCCATGCAAACCAGTAGCCATGCTTGACTTTTATTTTCATTATTTTCTCACTTGTAGCTTGACTTGCAAATTGTTCCCTTTGCTCTATCCTTCTTTGCCAAATCTTTTTGATCAAATTTACTTGATTTTTTAGCTTGTTTTTTTATCTCATTTTAGCTCTAAACTCAGCTTGAATCTCTCCCAAATCAGCTTTTACAGTAACTCCTCTCAAGCAAGCTATCTTATGCAAGAAAGGAAAGCTTCACATGCCTTTGTTGGTGGCTCACAGCTTAGGGCTTCATGGTCATGGCTTGGCATTTATTTCTTCTTCTTCATGGCTCTATTTTCTCATGGAAATCAACCCATCTCATCTTCTAAAGGCCCTTAAATTACCTTGGTAAATTTTTCACTAAGTTCAACCATTGCTTATATGATCACACTAGGTGCAAGCATAATGTTTCTATTTTTCCTACACATGAAATTCAAAGAATTTAGGTGGATAATCAAGCAAAATTAAATCAAGTAAGTTAAAATTTAACTAATTAAGTACATGATAATTTTTAAAAAATAAAATTATCGCATTTGCATTTCATTTTATTTTGTTGTCACATGCATTCTTTAATTGTTATGCATTAATATTGTATCATTCACGTTTGATTGTTATGTATTCATCATATATCATTATGTTTCATGCACTCAATGCATATGTTTTATTAATAAGGTTTTTTCTGAAAAAATATTTTTAAATAAGATGATATATCAAATAAATATAGTTTTTTTAGATTTTGCCTAAATATACAGGGATTCTCAATAGCTATTATTTATGTGAGGTGTCATCTCAGTTTTTGTAAGGCAATTTAAAAGCTTTCAAATTAAATATATTTTTAAAGCTTTACCTAAATATAAGAAATTGGAAAAAGTGTCCTGATACATAGGAATTTTTTTCATTTTGATCCAAAAAAATAAATTGTTTTGCTTTAAAAAAAAAAAAAGATTTGCTTTCAAAAGAAAAAAGAAAATTTTGATTTTTGGAACGAAGAAAAAAAAAATAGCTTCCCCTCAGAAGTATTTAAGTGCTTTAGTTGTAAACATTAAAGACCTAGCTACTTTCAAAATATGTTTATTTTTTCTTTTTGCCACTCTATTCTACCATAAGTGTTAATACAAGAGATTTGCTAAATAATCTCTTTTTTCAAATAATATGTTCCAAAAATTCGATTAAAGTATTCTTTCCCGTATTACTTTAAAATACTTGAATTTTTTCTTAAAATTGTATTTCAACCATATTATAAAAAATTTTTAAAATATGTTCAACATTTTTTTTCTTTTAAGTAGATAAACCTAACAAATCCTTTTATGATCATCAATTAATGTTAGAAATCATCTTTTTCTAGAAATTGTTATTCTACATGGACCCCACATTTCACTATGAATAAGAGCAAATGACTTAAAAGACTTAAAAGACTTAAAAGGTTGAATAGGAAATGATGCACGATGATGTTTAGCAATTTGAATAGAACAGAGGAGAAAAAGAAGATAACTTCATATTAATTAACATAAGAATTACAATGATTTAAAAAGACAATTTTAAATTTTAAATTTTAAACTTCTTATCTACCTGAGCATAATTTTAGGAACTAAATAACAACCTAAACACCTAAAAATCTAAATCTATTAATATTTAATAGTTTAAATTTTACAACAAAAATCTGATATTTTTACAAAATATTTAATTGGGTTTATCAAATTACTTTCATGTTGAGTCTAATTGAATTTCCTTTTGACTTAAAAGTCCACATTCATTATGAAGCTTAAATCAAAATTTTAAACCCAATCTCACCAAGCACAAAAATAATTCAACCAAAAATATTATTTTATTTGTTTCTCTTTTTCTTTTTTTTCTTTTCTTCACCAAGTCTTTGTGCACTCAATGCATCGTCTACAAACTACCTTATTAGAGACCTAATTTTGTAGAAAAAATCACGAGGCCAAAAAATTCTTCGAGGGTGCCCCAAAATTCTCTAATTACCCCTTAAATTCTTCTTTTATCTTTGGTTTTCTAGGATTTGAACTCCTACTTAGCTTCATAAATCAAGTTTCCTAATTGAAAAAATTTTTAAAGGTAGAACCTAACAAGTAAAAATCTTCAAACTCTATTTTGTTTGTATTTTCAATTCCTAAGCACTACAACCATCAACTTAGACCTTACACCACTACTTGAACCAGCATCGACAATCACCACTGTCAACTACCTCCATAAACACCGTAGTAATTCACTTGAAATTTAAACCACAAACACAAAAAAAACTAAGAACCATCCTAAACCCACAAAAAATAACTTAACATCTACTAACATCATTCCTCGAAGAGAAGCCACAAAAAAATTCAAAAAAAATTAAAAGGTATTTTTTAAGGTTTTAGTTTAAGGTGCTATAAGCGAATTCTAGGCCTAAATTTTAATGAAAAGAAAGATTAAGGGTAAAGGAAGGACATATCAAAAAACTATAATGATCGAAATAGTGGGGGATAGGGGATTTAAACTTTTGAAATTAAAGGCTTTAACTACATATCTAAAATTTTTTGGACTAATTTTGGAAAATCCAATAGCTTTAGAGTGTTTAAGGGGTGAAAATAAGTAATTCTAAAAATTTTTTAGTGTCTTAACATCGGCAAGTGATGATCGGAGGATTTTACAATGGCCAAATCTAGAAACTTTGAAGTTTTCAATCATTAGTTAAATTTTCTAATGTTAGAATCTAGGATTTTGGTGAAGATCTAGGTTTATTGAATTTTTAGGTGACTAGTTAAATTTTCAAGCCATCAAAATCTAGAAAAGCTATCGATTTCTGTAATTCGATTGAATTTTCTTATAGCTTTAGAGAAGGAAAGAGTTTAGGGAAGAAGAAGAAGAAAAAGGAAAAATTAAAAAAAAAAAATTGAAAGAGGCTATTTATAGCATGCCAAAATGACGCCAATTCTAACTTAGAGGATCCATGCATCGATTGGGGATCCGACCCTTTTGTCATTTGACCCATCTTCCAAACCAAGTGAATAGCTCAACCAAGCCAAGCTGATTCACCCTTAAGCCATTGACCGAGCCAAGCCATCTTAACCATTGTTAACCGAGTGCATTTTCAATATCTTTTCATTTTTTATTTTTTTCCTTATTTTTAGTTTTTTATTGTAATTTTAATTTTTGTAATTATTTTATTTTATTTTAATTATTGCATTATAATTTTTTTAATTTGTGTGAAAAAATAAAATGTTTTGTTAAAACCTATTTGGAATAAACTTTTTTAAAAAATGCTGAGGAAAAAGTTAAAATATAAATTTGTCCTCAAGCAAATAAAATGTGTTTAGGAAAAGTTGAAATATTAATTTTTCTCAAAATTTTTTAAAAATAAAATAAAATTTATTGATAAAAATAAATATAAAGAATAAAATATAAAATATATAAAAATTTTGTTTTAAAAATGCTAAGGATAAAGTTGAAATATCAATATTTTCTTAAAATAAAATTTTGAAAATGTTTAGGAAAAAGTTTAAATATCAATTTGTCCTTAAATTAAAATTTTGAAAATATTTAGAAAAAAATTGAAATATAAACTTTTCCTAAAACTAAAAAATAAAAATTTTGTTTTAAATCTTCCAATAATAGAATTACTAAAAAGGTACAATAGCATTTTTTATGTGAATTTCTAGGTGAAGTATTATTTTCTAAATGTAGCTAAAATTAGATTATTTAGAAATTTTTTTAATATCAAAGGTTCTAATAAAAAATGTTTTTGAATATGACGATAGAGCTTTTTAAGAGTGACTATAAACATCTTGAGTACTCTTGAGATAAAGAAATAATATTTAAATTGTTGCCAAAACATTGGAGTCTAATAATTTTCAATATATATTTTTTTATTTTAACAAAATGTTTTAAAAGCTTAGCAGATAATATAAAATCAATTAATATCGTTTCATATAGATGTTGTGGAGATGTTATAATTTTCTTAATATGTAATCATACTTCTTGACCAAACTTTGATTCGTAGATCAAAAAATTTTTAGTAAATCTTAATTAATTTTAAGATTTATTAAAAAAAAATTTTGAGTGACTAATCACATTTAAATACAAAAAGATTGGTAATTTTATGTTTAGAATAAAATATCATTAACACAATGTGTTTTATCTATGGAAAAAAAAAAAGATATATTAGATTGAGATAAAAGATTTATCGTCAATTACCTAAGTAATTTGGTACAAAATGACTAAATGCTCAACTAAATTAGTTTGAAAATTATTAATTAAGGTTATATGTATCGTTGAAAAGAAAAGATCACCCATAATTAAAAATGTGGATTATGAACGCGTTATATACACACTAATAAAGAAAGTAAATTATGTGGTAAACAACTTAACATACTACAAAATTGAGAATTTTTCATATATTGTTGACGCTATTCAGTGCCAAAGAACGAAGAAAATAAAAAAGAGTTAGAAAGAATGAAAGGAAATATATACAGTAGAAAAAATATATATAAATTTTGGATTTTCAAATCCTAATTTTTTTTTTTTTAATATATCTTATTGAACTTAATCACCGCGGACACTCTTAAAAGTGCCCTGTCTGCATATTTACTTATATGAAAAAAAAAATCCCTTGAAACGGCACGCTTTGGAGGTCCAGAGAGCGTGGGAAGTAGCCGTTAGAAAGACACCTCATACAGCCACCAAATACATGACCGTTAGAAACCTTCCCCAAAATTCAAAAAAATCGACCGTTGTAGTTCCCCCAGTTCCCCAACGTTTAACTCCAATCTTCGCCTCCTCTCCTTCATTTTCCAATAAAACAAATCTTCTAAACCCAAAAGTAAAGAAGTCCAGAGACCTTCCGATAATCGCTTTCTCCCTCATCAATCCCCCCTCCCTCCCCAAAAAAAGAAAGTGAATATCTCCGTTTTGCATCTGATGGACGAATCAAGTGGGACAACTGCAACGATTATTGACGAGTTATACGAGTTTTCAGCGCCGCGTTTCTTTGATTTCTTGAAAGGAGAGTCGGAAGAAGAAAAACGCAATGCAGAGCTCTGGTTCGAAACCACCTTAAGCTACGCCCCTTCTCGTATGTTCTCTCTTTTTTTCCTTCATATTTCTTTCTTCTTTTATATTCTTTGAATCATTCTTTTCTCTGTAACTCAATCGTTTTGGTAGGTGGTTCTTGATTTTCTTGGAATTGTATTTACTTATTTATTGATTACTATTTTGTGATTTCCAATTTTTAACTTGATTGATTTTAATTGTTTATTACTGATTCGAGTTTCAAAATTCTAGGATTTGAGGTCCTCCTAATTGCAGAAGATTTAGGGGAAAAGGGAAAAAATTTTATCTCCATTCTCCACTTGTCCAATATTGATTGCAAATTTTTTCTTCCCAATTTCCCCAAATTTTCTCTCAGTATCCAATCGATGGGTCATAATTGATCTATGGTTTGACCCAGGAATGCTTTGTGTTTGGTTGCTTAGATATGATAGGAAAAGAAAAGAAATGTGATGTAAATTAAGCATAACCTACTTATTATTGTTCTTCCAAAACATTTACTTGAATGAATTAAGCATAACCTAAATAGGTTAGTTTCCAAGGAACAAGGATTTGAAGTGTAGCTTTAATCATCTTACATTCCCATATATTATCTGCAAAAAGCAAAACTGTTGCATTTTTATTTCCTTTTTGGTTTTTTCGTAATGCAGCTTTTATGGCTAGAATCAAGGCTGGTAATAGATCCTTTCATGTGGAGAGTCTCTGCAATTTTAGTGAAGAAGATCAAATGCAGAAGGTGCAAATTACTTTCTACATACCTTTAGTAAATTTCAATATCTCACAAAGCAACTTCTCTAATTTCAATTTGGTCATGATGAATGTGTTATTGCTGCAGACCTCGGAATCCTCAGATGCAACAGCTCCTAACGATACCTCAGAAGATAAGCCTCAAGCTGATCTCATGCCTGATAAAGTAAAGGAAGAAGAAGTTAAATCCTCTGAGGCAAAGGTTGAAATCAATCAAATTGTCAATGAGGTAATTAGTGGACTTTTTTTATCCATTCTTGTTATTGATTAAGTCTTCTGTTTTCTCGTGATTTTAACTGCTTTGCAGATTGCTAATAACGATAAGGAAAAAATAGGGACTGTATGTGCTCAAGAAAATGGGAGGTTTGTTCTTTGGGTTTTGAAAATTTTATCAACACTAAATGAGCTCTATTATGAATACTTTGGTTCTCATTATTGTGTCTTGGTTCATTTCCGTTGAATTTTCAGTGCCCTGACTGAAAAAGCGCATTCAAATGTGCCCGGTGATACAGAGAAAAGCAAATCTTCTGTGCAAGTCGAAACTGAAGCTTGCACCCCTAAACCATTGATGAATTCTCAGAAAAAACTGGTTAGTGACAAGAAGCATCATACAGCTAAGAAGATAGCTAGTAAGCTACGGAATCCATCAGTGTTGAAGCCGAAAAATGGGAATGCTGAAACTCCTAATTTGGCTCTAGAAAACCAAGCCATTAAACGTCAGAAACTAGATGGAGGGAGATCTAGACAGGTGCTTATATGCTCTTGCCTTTTGCGTGTGTTAACTACTGTCATTTTGTAACTTCTATCTGAAGTTTTGTCTTTTTGTTGCTTCCCTCTGTACCTCAGATCCTAAATGTAAAATCCCACAACTTGCCCCACAAGTCAAAACTCGGTCTTACCAGTGGTAGTTCCAACTTATGCTCTTCTATTACTTCTAACAAATTGGAAAGAAAGGTCTGTTTGTTTCTCTGTGCTAAGTTCCTTCATTGCATATTTTCACTAACAATTGTGAAATTGTATTAAAATTTGGCTTGTGTTTCCCTTGAAGGTTTATGTTCGAGAGCAAGCAGCACCATTTGTTTCAATGGCAGAAATGATGAAGAAGTTCCAATCGAGTACCAGAGATTTGTCACTTCCTCACAGTTCTCTGTCAAATGTAAATAAACAGAATCACATGGATTTGGTTTCTTAATTCCTTACACTTCCTTGTTTCCTTCCTTCTTTTACAAAATTCCTTCCAATTACTGAAGATGATGCTACTTCTGTCCAGACGAAACCTACGCTCAAATTGACAAGGCCTAAAGAACCCGAATTTGAAACAGCACAGAGAATACGCTCAGTTAAAGTGAAGAGCACCGCAGAGCTTGAGGAAGAAATGATGGCTAAAGTGCCAAAGTTCAAAGCAAGACCATTGAACAAGAAGGTGTCTAATGATCTTTCTTTGTTCTTTACTGTTCAAGTTTTTTTCCTACTTAATTTGTTTTCCATTTTCTTCTCTGCTGCAGATTTTTGAAACTCCAGCACTACCTGCATTACCAAGAAGTACTCCAAAGCCTCTAGAATTTCAGGTAAATTATGCTAAGGAGATAGGTGGTGGTATGAGGTGAAAATGAAGACAATCCTTGCCATCAGACTAAAAAATTTATTCTGTTTCAGGAATTTCATTTTGAGACAATGGCTAGAGCCAATAAGAATGCGGAGACGTCTTCAGTAGCTTCAACTGTCATGTCTCGCCAGGTTTAGAGAACTATATCCCATATATTTGATTCATTTTCTTTTGGAACCTTGAGCAGCTTGCTTACCTTGTCTCTCTTTTTCCCTCCTTCCTCTTGGTTTTCAAATTTTCCTGTAACAGAATAATCAGTGGAAACTTCATCTCACAGAACCTAAAACCCCTGTACTTCAAACATCACTGAGGGCACGGCCTCCAAAGGTCAAAAGTTCTATTGAACTTGAGCAGGAGGAACTTGAAAAAGCACCTAAATTTAAGGCAAGGCCATTGAATAAAAAGGTACTCTCTCCATCACTTCAATTCTGCTTGATATATAGCAACCATGTTTACTTGAGAGAGTCACTCTAGTTTTTGCCCTGTATAGATATTTGAGAGCAAAGGAGAAATGGGAATCTTTAGTAATGCAAAGAAACAGGTGACTGTACCTCAAGAATTCCATTTTGCGACAAATGAGAGGATACCACTTCCCCCACTACCAGTTGTTGATTTATTTGACAAGGTAATTGAACAAATGCGCCAAATAATTATTCTACTACTGGTCTGAGCATATATAAATAGCAAAATACCGTATGAATCATGATAGATACCTTCTACTTACTACGGTTCCATGTTTGTTCCTTTTACAGCTTTCTCTGAAGTCAGATAGCCATGACCCACTCCCAAGAATCACCATTCCCAATCCATTCCATCTCCAAACAGAGGTATATTTATTTTTCTCATGTTGTAAGGCCAGAAAAGATAAGAGTTGAGTATTTTAGTGAGTCCCAAATGTTCTGACTTCAGGAAAGAGGAGCTGAGAAAGAAAGGAAGTTTGTTACTGAAATTATAGAGAAGCAGTTTGAAGAGGAAACAGCCAGGGTTCCCAAGGCTAACCCATATCCTTACACCACTGACTATCCTGTGGTATGTTAATTTTGCGTGCTTTCATTTAATATTTTTAGTTAATTATGTATTATAGTGAATGGGGGTGTCAATGGGTGTTTGTTTATTATGCAGATTCCTCCAAAACCAGAAGCCAAGCAATGTACAAAACCAGAACCCTTCCAATTGGAGAGTCTGTTGAGGCACGAGGAGGAGATGCAAAGAGAGATGGAAGAAAGACAGAAAAATGAGAGAGAAGAGGCCAAGATGAGGATCTTCAAGGCCCAGCCGATTCTAAAAGAGTATGTATCATCCACAATTTATGATTTTTGTTTTTACAAACAGTTGAAGAGAAATAATTACCTTGTTCTTTTCTTGCAATCTTACGCAGGGATCCAGTTTCCCTTCCAGAGAAAGTTCGCAAGCCTCTGACGCAAGTGCAAGAATTCAATCTCCATGTTGATCATAGAGCTGTGGATAGAGCTGAATTCGATCAAAAAGTAAATTCTAGTTTCTTTCTCGTGTGAAGTTTATGTATATATTTCCATTCGATAAGCGTTCTTATTTTAATGAATCTTTTTTGCAGATTAAAGAGAAAGAAATGAAGTACAAGAGATACAGAGAGGAGAGTGAGGCTGCTAGAATGGTATGCACAGATTCTTTGTCCTACACTTGTGTTGTCAATTTTGTTCTTGGCCAGTACAAAAATAAAACGTTATATTGTGTATTGGTAGATAGAGGAAGAGAAGGCATTGAAGCAATTGAGAAGGACAATGGTTCCCCATGCTAGGCCTCTTCCCAAGTTTGACCATCCTTTCTGCCCACAAAAGTGAGAATGTAGCAATATCTTGGCAGTATTCTTCATTCATTTTTTTCCTTTTTGGCCACTATCCTCAATTGATTGTGTATCGCCCAGGTCATCCAAGGAAACAACTAAACCCAAATCACCACATCTACGTGTTTTCCAAAGAAAAGAAAGGAGGAAAATGCTCACCGCCGCTGCAACTTCCAGTCCCGCCACTCTTATGAGGTGATTTTGGTTCGAGGAAAAGAAGGCAGGCGGGCTCAGGGTTGTTGTTCAAGAACTTTTGAACCGCTGTGAAACAACTAACTCATTGGACCCATTAACTGTGACATTGCAGATTCATTTCTGTACTCTTTGTACCATTAAATGCAAAATATGTAGTAAAATATTCCTTTGTACCATTTCATTAGACTCAAAATTTCATTAGAATTTTTTTTCTCCAGAATTGCACCCTTTTTTCTCATTTAATTTGATCGTCGTACAAATTATTGAGTATTGGTAGATAGAGGAAGAGAAGGCATTGAAGCAATTGAGAAGGACAGTGGTTCCCCATGCTAGGCCTCTTCCCAAGTTTGACCATCCTTTCTGCCCACAAAAGTGAGAAAGTAGCAATGTCTTGGCGGTATTCTTCATTCATTTTTTTTCTTTTTTGGCCACTATCCTCAATTGATTGTGTATCGCCCAGGTCATCCAAGGAAACAACTAAACCCAAATCACCACATCTACGTGTTTTCCAAAGAAAAGAAAGGAGGAAAATGCTCACCGCCGCTGCAACTTCCAGTCCCGTCACTCTTATGAGGTGATTTTGGTTCGAGGAAACGACGGCAGGCGGGCTCAGGGTTGTTGTTCAAGAACTTTTGAACCGCTGTGAAACAACTAACTCATTGGACCCATTAACTGTGACATTGCAGATTCATTTCTGTACTCTTTGTACCATTAAATGCAAAATATGTAGTAAAATATTCCTTTGTACCATTTCATTAGACTCAAAATTTCATTAGAATTTTTTTTCTCCAGAATTGCAATCAGCTCTATGAACCTCTTTTCTCATTTAATTGATCGTCGTACAACTACAACTTTCGGATCTTCCAGTGTACTTTTCTCCAAAAACTATTGAGTATTGGTAGATAGAGGAAGAGAAGGCGTTGAAGCAATTGAGAAGGACAGTTGTTCCCCATGCTAGGCCTCTTCCCAAGTTTGACCATCCTTTCCGCCCACAAAAGTGAGAAAGTAGCAATATCTTGGCGGTATTCTTCATTCATTTATTTTCTTTTTTGGCCACTATCCTCAATTGATTGTGTATCGCCCAGGTCATCCAAGGAAACAACTAGACCCAAATCACCACATCTACATGTCTTCCAAATAAAAGAAAGGAGGAAAATGCTCACCGCCGCTGCAACTTCCAGTCCCGTCACTCTTATGAGGTGATTTTGGTTCGAGGAAACGACGGCAGGCGGGCTCAGGGTTGTTGTTCAAGAACTTTTGAACCGCTGTGAAACAACTAACTCATTGGACCCATTAACTGTGACATTGCAGATTCATTTCTGTACTCTTTGTACCATTAAATGCAAAATATGTAGTAAAATATTCCTTTGTACCATTTCATTAGACTCAAAATTTCATTAGAATTTTTTTCTCCAGAATTGCAATCAGCTCTATGAACCCTTTTTTCTCATTTAATTGATCGTCGTACAACTACAACTTTCGGATCTTCCAGTGTAGACTTTTCTCCAAAAACTATTGAGAAGCAAATAAGCAGGCGACGCAAAATTTATCCAAACATGTTCATAAAACAAAGTAAATTTTTCCTATAGCATCCTCGAAAATCGCAACTCCATAAACTACCTAAATGTTAACATCACCAAGAAGGCAACTCAAACAATGGTTTCATCAAACGACCAGACACCTCCCACTCTTTACACATAGCTCAACTGTATATTAACGAGACACCAACCTCTTACTTGTAGAACTGGCATTGTCAACAACGGCACAAATTTCCTAGCCAGTTTGCTTCTGCCGATATGCTAGAATCTGAAACAGTAGAGGAAACAAAATTCAACATTCTTCACAAATAATAATAATAATAATAATAGACAGAAATGGTTTACATGAAAGGTTTCCGTATAGATACAAATGTGATTCACAGCATAACCTTGAAGAATATTACAAGCCAAACAGCGATATTAAGTACTAACAAATGTACTCACCAAATGATTTCGTCCGGAACTGCACTTGACCTTAAGACCTGCCAAAGTTTCTTGACCTTCCAAAAGTTGTAGTGCTTCCTCTGAGGTCCAAGGAGTTGGGTTGGAGTGGTTGTCATCACTACTATATTGTCCTTTCACCATTAATATTTCTACTTCTTCAGCTCGCAATGGTGTCTGGAGAGCAATGTACTGCACAACACAATCATTATAATTTTAGACGCAGCATCTTAAATGTAAAAACATAAAATAATAGATCATATTTGATATAGAAGGAGAGATGAGTGAAAAAGGGTGTTGGAAGGAGCAGTATAACATGAAGAATGCATCCAACAAAGGATATAAGTTAGAAATTGAATGATTTGAGGTCGCATCAGAATTTTGGGTGGACACCAAAACTTACCCATATGAGTAAAACTATTAAAGTTTAACTGAACTCAAAGACCTACCCGAATTTGAACCCAATTTAACTCGATTTGACAAAAAGGTCAACAATACGAACCCATTCAACACGAATCTGAAATGAACTGAACCTGAATTAACATGAATCTAAAATGATCCAAACCCAAATGACCGAAAATAATATTGATTTGACTTTAAAACCCAATAATTTAGACTAAAAATGACTCGAACCCCGATGATTCGAACCCAAATAACGTGAGTGTCAAACCTGCAAGTCCAGAATCCAAAATGACCTGAACCCAAGATGACCCAAACTCAAAATGACCTGAATCTTTTTATCCTAAATGAACCAACCCAAATTGACTCAACCCAAACCTAATCCAACCTGCCCATTTATCACCTGCACAGCAATTCAAACCCTATGTATTAAGAGACTGGGTTGGATTTGGATCAATTGAAATCAAAGGCTCTCACATCAGAAATTTAGGTGGACACCAAAAACTTACCTGTATGAGCACAGCAACTCAAATGCTATGTATTAAGTTGACTTGGTTGGATTTTGGGACCACTGAAATCAGATTTTGCCCGCTTTACAATCTACAGGCCACTATCTTTCTATTTAATGAATTATACTCATTCAACCAATGCAAGTCAGCATTTGGAGAATGTCATTTTCCTAGCATCTACCTTCAGCTTTACAAAGAGAGAGACAGTCTATGTATTTAGCTCGTGGGAAAGAAATCTCACTTCACATAGCTGCTTAACTGACAGACTAGGACGACAACAAAGGTAGGGTTGCTGCAAACTTGATGTACTTTTTTCGTCCACTGAAATAAGCTTGAGATGAACATCCAGCTGCAGGCAAAGAATATGATTTAGTTATACAAAATGAGGACCTGCATACAGAATGGGGAAGGATAAAAGGGAAAAACAAAAAAGAAAAGGGGGTGGGAAGGAAGAGAGAATGGAGAGAACAATCCTACAGTATTACTTAAGTGAAACCCATAAACTAGATAAGAACCACTAGAAAGTTATGCCAATAGTGGCAGCTTAATTCCAGTGATTGACCTAATCAGGAATCTTAAACTAATAAGAGTCAAACAGTGCCCTATCATACCTCATCAACATTTTCCTCCAAGCTCCGGAGGTGCTCTACCAATCTGTTTAAGCGAGCACGTGAACTCTTGCTACTGCTGCCACCAGAATTTCCATGTCGAGTGTGACTCCGAGCACCACCCCTTCCCCAAGCAAGCATGTCTGCGTTCCAGACAAGCCCAGGAGAAATTCCTCTGCTGTCTCTAGACACCTCTGTATCATTTTCAACACATCCACCTTCTGAGTTTACCACTGATGAAGAAGGCTGAAAAGGCCGGATTACAGATCGCCTTTTGCACCTTCTCTGTCTCGCTTCTGTACCGCGCTCATCAGTGGAAGATGAATCTTTGCCTCCATTATCATCATTTTCATCCTCATTGTCTTCAGACCCTTGACGCTCAGCCCCTCGAGAGTTCTGTCTCCTACGCGGGTGAGTACGATGAATGCGTTGTGACCTAGTCATAAAGGCACCTGTGCTCTCTTTACCAAGACTACGTCGTTTAACGAGTGCTTCTGATTGTCTCTGAAATATCTGGGCAATTGATGCTTGAATCTGTACAACAAAATATTGAAATAAACATTGGGAAAACGTAGAATGTAGGGTCTTGAACTTACAATATAGTCCAATGTTATTCTCAGAACAGAGCAGTGGAGAGGGGAAAAAAGGTACTACCAAGCAATCATCATGCAACTATCTAGCGAGGGCAACATCTACGACAAGCTTTTTGTTACCTTGCATCCATGAAACAAGAAATAGGGTTCTTCCACTTGGTAATTTATCCCAGCACAAAGTCAGAAGACAAGTTGCAACATATGCTTTAATAATAGTTATAAAATTGTATAAGTAAATGCACCTAATAAAAGTAACATCAAGAAATTCATCTCAAGCATGTCTTCTCCAAGTGTATGATGAACAGAAAGCACCACAACTATCTGCCAGGACTCTTATCTAGATCTAGGATATAGGATGACAGACCTTACCATGAATGCAAGCAAAGCAGTGAGAAATAAAGGCATGTAGTAACAAATATACCACATATCTGACCTGCTTATTGCGAGTCCTTTCCTCTTCATGAAAAGCCAATTCCTGAGATCAAATGCACAAACTAGCGCTCTATCAGGAAGATCAAGACTTAAGAAATTTTATGCTAGCAGCATGAATTAAAAAAAAATACTTACTAAGCAAGCAAAAATAAGAGAAATAAAAGAACTTGTACCTCCTCTTCATACTTGTCAATATCTGGATATATAGCTGCAATTAAGGCATCATAGTTTGGATCGTCTCGCAGAGAACGTCGACTAGCACAATGTGTACGGCAAGCAGGACACTCATTGTTCCTGCCATCAGAATCAAGTAAGAAATTTTGGCCAAAAAATTTCCAGACATTTACCAAATTAACCCAAACAAAGGTAAGATATTGGCCAAAAAAACAAAGGCAAGATAGTAACAATCCATGTATAACATACCCCAGTCGCATTGATTTGTCAATACATTCTCTGCAAAAGCGATGCAGGCATTCCATTACAGTTCTTGTTTTCTTTATGATTCCTGTACAGAAAGAAAAGAATAAATAATGGATCTTCTACCAGATTTAAGTCCAACCATGGATAATAACGGAAATCAGAGTGCGTTAACTAGATCAAATGAGCCAGAGTTCAAAGCTTCCTTCTGATCAAACCCCAGATCAAGCTATCAAACTGCAATGCACTATAAATACCTCAAGCAATAAACCAATAGCATAACTTCTAACCACAGAACAGCAAGACTAAAAGTAGACTAACAAGCATACCCTGATGCAATAAGATATAGAAAACGTGTTTTTCCAGTAAGTGTTTCATAAAAAGAATAAGTAGCACATCCACATTATATGTGTGAATTCAAATAATATAACATTACTCTTTCATGGTTTTTCCTTCAGAGAAAACATGCTTATTAATTTATATAAATTTAAGCAAATTCTGTTTTATAGACATGATACATCTAAAGTATAACTAACCAACCTTCCCAGCTAAAATTTACCTATCCCATAAAGCCCCTTAATTGATAAGTACTTTATTAATGCAAGCTCATATGATCTAACTTATCTGCATTTCTTAAGTAACACTTTCCTCTGATTTCACCGAAAACAATGTTATAAAATTTAGATTTACATAATATCAAAGTCTCTTTCTACTAATCAATTGAAAACAATAATGTAGAAAACATAACCTGAAATTCAGCAACCCAAAATCAACAATCTTCATTGCTCTTTTCTCCTATCCTCTCAATTTTAGATCTTTTGAGGAGCATCCAGATAGACAACTTTCTCCTTGGTTTCCAATATAATTTATAGGTACTTGCCCAATCATGGGCAGAAAACTTGTTTATTAACTCATCAAATTCGACGCTATCTCTTCTAATAAAACAGTGATAATAACTTTCCAATGCAAGCAAAAATCACAAGGAAAAACAAAATGAGTATTATGCCCACTGGCGTATCTAGCAAAGCATAACTAGATTCTAAGAAAAGGGAAAGGTGGGATCTATCATTTGGAAATCAAATGAAAGAATTATGTTTAAAAAGTCACTTTTAGTTGTGTAGAATTAAACTTTATATTTCAATATAGGATACACTCATATTAGATTGTGGATTTGTTCTGACAATTCATCTTCTATAAGACTATTAGACAAACAACCTCATTTTAACTTCAGCACAAGCTAGAGAGAGGGAAGAAAATATTTTATTTGTATAAAAACAAACTAAAAAAGATATAACCATCAGACAATGAGAATTGCAACTGGAAAAATTCAACATAAATCTTAAAAATTTAAGGAAGAAACCTCCCTGTTCTACTTAAATATGAGGTTATAAGCCATAAAACAATATGGGCACCAAAAACATGACACTCAATTCTTCTCTTGTCCTTCAAATGGTTATATGATTTTCCAAAGACAAAGTTAATAAACAATGTATGCTCAAAATAAGGATTTATGCAAATGGGATTCAAACTTGAAAAAAGTTGATGGGTTTGACCTCCATACATTATGCAACCAAATATGGCTTGTTCATAAAAATATATTACACCCACTGTTATACATATATCCCCAGTCCTAATCACACCAATTCAATATAAATAATAGGAGAAAAGAGTATTAAATGGAAGCAAATTGAAGTAAATATTACCTAAACAAATTGGACATTGAACATCTTTGCGAATTTCTGAAAGTTCTACAAAGACAAATCTGGAAGAGAAACATAAGAAGTTACTAGAACTTTCTATCAAGTCATTTGGTATAAGGTGCAATATAAAATTCAGTCCATATGCATGAAGATGGCAGCAAGCATTCCACTAGAAAGGTACATATATTGCTATCATCAATGTAAACATATTACCACAAGTATATTTGCACTGTATGAGTTCGAAGATATTACCTACTTTAAAAGGGTAATATAAATGTTTTCAAGCAATCACATAAGTTATATGCCATGAGGGAAAGGATATCCATAAGGTTCAACTAGCACTTTACAATTATTCTGAGAATGCTATTGTGTGAATCTAGACAGTTTATGAAGATAAAAATACAACCAAACCCCAAATCTACTCAGTATAAGAATCCTTGCATGTTACTATATATATTAGTTAAACTAGCAACGAAAAAAATGACCAAATATTATGGTTTGTAAATGAGATGATACTATTTGAAAAAAATTTCTAAAGACCTGGCATAGAGGCACCATCTAGAATCACTAAATGACTCTGTGACTCACTGCTTAGCAAAGTTAAGCTAGTGACTCATTAAGGTTTTATCAGATTCCTACAATTGAACACATATCATATACTATGGATTCCAAAAATCAAGGTGAAAAAAGGGGGAAAAAATGAAAAGGAAATCCATAATCAAATATAAAAGTGAATTTGCGTAAGACAAATCATGCAAATTATGGACAGTAGAAGGATAACCAACTACAAGTATACTAGGACGTGATTTAGAGCTAGTACTTTTACAAGTTGATAATGAGCATGCGAAGTGGTTTACTTGACAAACAGAGGATTTTCCTGCTTTATGTGGTAAAGAGCATGGACAGGACACAGATGGTTGACATGCAAAATGTAATTGATACGATGAAAAAATAAATCACAAAACGCAAATGCCATATAGCTGATAGCATAAAACCCTACAAATAAAACGCAAATCCCTTTCTCTCCAACAGCTAAAACCATCCAAAAGAAAAAACATGCTCTTTAAAAAATAAAATAAAATAAGATAAAAAGCGATAAAATCGCAGCAAACCCAACTCATAAAAGCAGAGCCAAACCTAATTATGCAACAAAACTGGATTCTAACCTTATTTAAAAACAAAAATAATTGACAGAGGAAAAAAAAAAAAGAGAAAAGAGTACTCGGGTTTCTCTTGAGAAGTAGAAGATTGGCTTCCATCAGAATCTGAGAAAAAGAATCAAACAATCAAAATCAACTTCAAGCACGTGTTTACATTTATGCATCGACCATTATATGAAATATACAGTACATATATATAAAAGAAAGGGACGTTACCATCTTCTTCTTCATCATCTTCATCTTCGTCGTCGCCTTGGAGTTGTAGTTGGTGGTTTTGGTCATCCGGGTCTTGTTTCTGGTGTTCTTGTTCATCTTGCTCTTGCTCGGCCTCTTGCTCTTCTACCAGTGGCGTTGTGACATCTTCAGCTTTGTGTTGGTCATCTTCGGTTCGAGATTGCTTAGTGTGGTTTTGGTGATGAAGGCTGGACTCTTCATCGTCGAGATTATCTGGCAATGACCGCTTCTGGGCTGGCATTGTTGCCTTTGCTTTGTCGATTACGCCTTTTTTTCTTTACCAGAGAACCCCAGCCGAGGAGGAGGACGACGACCCAGAGATTGCTCACTTCTCTTTTTTTTTTTTTCTTTTTCTTTCTATTTTTTCCTTTTTTGTAGGGGCCGATAAAAAATTAAAATAATAATAATAACAATAATAAAAGAAAACCCCAGAGGGAGAGAACTGTTTTTTTTTTTTTTTTAGTAAGGCTCTAATTAATTTTGGAATAGAGCAGAATCAGATGTTAAAACAGCACATGTTGGTCCGGTGGGCGGCTTACCGTCTCTTTCTTTGTTCTTCTCAAATGGGTACTTTAGTCATTTTATTCTAATTTTTAAGAACGACATCATAGCGGATATTATTAGGTTTTTGGTATTTCCATCTAAATTCATTTAATTTTTATCATATTCAAATTCGTTTGGTAAAATTGTACGATTAATCCTTGTACTTATATAAAATTTAAATTTGAATTTTTATATAATAATTTACAAAATTTAAATCCTCACACTAGTTTAATTTAATAATATTAGTCCAATTGATAATAATATTACTTAATCTCAATTAAATTAGTTGATGTGGTCATTGATCATATTGACATGACGTTGACTTCAATGATGTGTTATTGATTTGCTAACATGTTAATTGAGATTTATGAAATCAGTTATTAAATTATGTAAATAATCTTTATATTATATGAAATTAGAAATTTAGTCTATATACTAACACAAAATTTGAAATTTAATCATTCTAATACAAAAAATATTTTGAATTTTTAAAAATTTTCTAGTTTTTTAAACATTAAATTTTAAAAATTGCTACAATATATTTTCTCTTAATATTCTATTACAATATTTAGTCACAATTCTCATATATTGTTGTTAAATCTATCACAATTTTTTGTCATCCATGCGAAATACTATTATTAATTTTATCACTATTTCTTATTACATTTTGCCATAAAATATAAATATGTTACTAAGTTTGTTACTAAGTTTGTCATACTTTTCTGTAACAATTGTAATATATTGTGGTCATATAAAAAAATCGTAAACCAATCTATAAAATTCTAATACAAATTTATCAACATATTATACAAATCTGTCACTATCTAATTTTAATAAAACTATTATTTTTTATTAATTTATCTAATGAATTAGAATTATAATTACATCCCATAAAAGTAAAATTATCCATAAAATAATATTTTATTCCTTTAAATTAAACCCTAATTAAATGATTTTTTAGAATTAAATATAGGTTCAAAATTCTAAATGCATTAAAATAATTTACTAAACTTAATATGCATTGGTTTTAAAATTAAACTTATTATTTAATTTAGCATAATTATTTAAATAAGTTTTTTTGTGAAGACTCAAAAAATTGAAAATTCTCATTATGATACACAATATTGATATTTCAGTTTATCAAATAAATCATTTTCTCTTTTCATTTTGATAAAATTTAAAGTTATTTATTGAAATGGATAGTAGCTCGCCCTTTGTAAGAATCTAGATTTGAAATTTTTATTTTGTTTGGTTGGATAAGATGATGATTTCATTCATGGTCTACTTCAAATTCATTACAAGTATAATTCTATTCAATAGTTAGTTCATTATGAATTTTTATATATGATATATTTATGTTAATTAAAATAATATTAACTTTGATATATTAATTTAAATTATTAATATTATAATTGATTAATATAAATGATAATAATATTATTATTAATATGATGTTATTAATAATTAATTATATATAATAAAAACTAATATATTAAAGGAACTAAAATATTTTTAAATTTTAATATTTTTAAAAAACTAAAAAAATTCAAAATATTTTTTGTATTGGAGAGACTAAATTTTAAATTTTGTGCGAGTATAGGGACCAAATTTTAAATTTCATGCGAGTATAGGGACTAAATTTTAAATTTTATATAAGTACAGAGACTATTTTCATAATTTAACAACTTATTTCATCAACTTCAATAGCCATGTCAGTAAGTCAATGCAACGTTATTAAAATCAATGCCATGTCAGATGGTCAATAGACACATCAGCTAATTTAACAAAGATTAAGTAGCACTATTATCAATTAAATTAACATTGTTAAATTAAACTAGTATGAGAATTTAATTTTTGTAAATTATTATATAAAGACTAAAGTTCAAATTTTATATAAGTACAAAAACTAATTACATAATTTGACCAATTCGTTTAATTATCCATTCAAATTTAATATTGCTATTTGAATCCATATTCAATAAGCACCATCTAATACAACAACAACACACTATGTTTTATATCACATACTCTGAGGTCGATTGTATGAAAAATCAAATAAAAGAATTAGATTAAGTTGTAGTTTGAATATTCTTATGCCACTTATTTCTATCAACAATCACATTTTCATCTAATTTCTTAACCATTATATCATTTTTTAGTATTTGCATCTATATCTTTTGTGATTTACTTTTAGATATTTTGATCTCTTATAGATTTAGAGACTCAATTTTTTTAACCGATACACAGCTAGGTTTACGTTTCACATGTTCAAACCATCGCAAACGGCCTTCTCTTATCTTCTATTCAATTCAGACTACCTTTAATTTTTCTCGAATCTTTTTATTTTTGATTTTGTTTTTTCTAGTTTTATCACACATCCATCTAAGCATCATCATATTTGCTACATTCATTTTCTTCTCATGTTGTTTTTTAACAACCCAACACTCAGTTTCATATAGTAATACAGGCGTTATAGTTATTTTATACAACTTCGCTTTTAATTTTAAAAGCATATTGCGATCACACAACACATCCGATACATTTTGTCAACTCACCAATCTTAATTGAATTTTGTGTTTGACATCTGCTTTTATCTCAATATCATTTTGAATAATTGATCCTAAATATCAAAACTAGCTACTCTTTGGTACTCTCTCACTATCCAACTTAATCTCACTAGTACCGACTTCTTTGTAACTACTAAACTTGCATTCTATATATTTAGTTTTAGATTTACTCAATTTAAAAAGCTTGAGACCTAATGTACTTCTCTATAATTCTAATTTTGTACTAGAGGCATTATAAGTTTTAATAACTAAGACTATATCATTGGTAAATAACATACACCATTGTACCTTATCTTATATACATCTAGTGAGTTCGTCCATAACTAATGCAAAAAAAAAAAAAAGACTTGTGCTGAGCCTTAATGTAATCATGAGGTAATGGAAGTTATCTGTTATGCCCCTAACCATCTTCACATTCATTACTATCTCTTCATACATATATTTAACTATGTTAATATACTTTAAAGGGACTTTTTTTTTAAGGCCCATCAAAACACCTCTAAAGAAACTCTATCATATGCTTTCTCTAAGTCAATAAATGCTATATGTAAATCTTTCTTTTTTACCCGAAAACTCTCAAAATGTGGATCGCCTCTATTGTGAAGCATTTTTGGCATAAACCTAAATTGGTTTTCAAAAATATTAACCTCACGTCACAATCTATATTCAGTTATTCTCTCTCAAAGTTTCATAGTATGACTCATAAGTTTTATCCCTCGATAGTTCGAATAATCTTGTACATCACATTTATTCTTGTATACAGGCACAATAGTGCTCTTCCTCCATTCTTTTGGCATCTTTTAGGTACGTTAAATTTTGTTGAAAAGATCTATCAACCATCTTATCCTTATTTCACCCAAGCATTTTTAAACTTCAATTGGGATTCCATCTGGTCCTACAGTTTTCTTTAATCTCATCATTCTCAAAGCCTCTTTAACTTCGTAGTTTTTAATATTACATTTAAATATATGATATACATCTTGAGAAGATATGTTCAACTCACCTATATCATGCTCAAAATTACTATTAAAGAGATTATCAAAATAATTTTTCTCTCTTTTTAATCTCCTCATCCTTCACTAAAACTCTTTTGTCCTTGCCTTTGATACATCTAACCCCATTAAGATCTCTACTATTCTTATTCCTCATCTTAGCAACTTTGAACAGTTTTTTTTTCTTCAACTATTGTCTTTAATTTTCTATATAACTCATCTTGGATTCTATTCTTTGAGTCTTAAAAAGCCTTCATCGTTTATTTTTTTACTATTTTATACTTACGATAACTCTTCTCCTCCCTATTGTTTCATAAATTTTTAAAATAGTACCACTTAGCTTTAATTACCTTTTACACATCTTCATTCCACCCCCAAGATTTCTTTCATAATGGTGTTTTACCCTTAGATTTCTCAAGTATCTCTTTAGTAGCCCTTTGAATTTCAACTGTAATATTTTCTTACATTATTTCTACATCCTCATTAAGCTTACAATCAACTTCTTTTACTAATCTATCTAATAAATATATAAATTCATTAAAATATCCATTTATTTCATTTTTTTATTATCTACTATCTAAATCTATTATCTGTTTATAAATATCCAAATCTAACATAATAAGATCACATAGTACCAAATATTCATTTATTTATTATCCATTATCATTCTACTTGTTAAGGGCATTTTTGGGTCTAGTGGGCAAAATGACCTTTTCCTCATTAGAGATTACAGTAAACAACTAGGGGCATTTATGACTTTTAAGCCAACCTAACATGTATAATGCCACATTAACTCGACCACCTTATCAACTTACCTAAAAGCCTTTTTATGCTGACTTGTCACTTCTTAAATAAATGATCAACGTCCAAGTCAACTCGGCCTACCAAGTCATCCTAGCTACAGGACTGACTATGCCTTTCACCTTCATCTATAAATAAGATCATTCAAGTATTATCTAAACATTTCATACTCTTCTATTGTTATAGTTCTTATTCAAATTCCTTTTCGTACAAATCTTTGACTTGAGCGATGAAGTGCAAACGCTAAAAAAACTCTCAGCTTTTGCCTTTAACCATTTTTTTATCCCTCTTATGTTTTCAAGATTTTACCCTTTAACTCGAAGCTCGGCACCAACATTTAGCACGCTAAGTAAGGGACTATTCATTATACAGCAAAGCTAATATACCATGCTACCTAAAAAGAGAGTTCTTGAGAATGGAAAACCAACTGCCTAAAGTGGAATCAAAACCTATACCATCATACTCACAGATTGACTTGCACTTGCATAGGTTAGCCCTACAATAGAGCAATTCTAAGCCTTAACCCAATAGTTACTGTCCCTCAAAGATATGATTCAAAGCCTCACATTTTTTAAAACTTTCAAAGTACCTAACCTAATCACCCTTGAAAGACTACCAACTAAAAGGTAACCAAGCTATGAAAAAGTTAAAGCCTTGTCAGCCTCACGTGAAGAGGAACCCACACTCCAACTAGTCACTACCATATTCACACGTCAACATAAGTCACCACATAAAAATCTAAACAAGTCGACCTAAAGCCCCAACCAAATAGAGACATAAAAGTTAAAACACTGGCCATGAAAAATGAGCTGAAAGGAAAAGTCGTTGCCTTCAAGGATGAGCTTAAATTTTTGGAGACCTTACTCTTTACCTAGGAGATTAACAAAACCATGCTTTCAAAAAGATTCAAAATGTCGACTTTGAAGACTTATGATGGTACTACTGACCCTTTTGATCATTTAGAGCTTTACCAAACTAACATGATAATGCAATGAGTGAATTGAGCTCTTATATACAAAAGGACTAGCTACTACACTAAAAGATATAGCTTGGTCTTGGTACTACAATTTAAAACTGAGGTTCATCACAACTTTTAAAAAGCTTTGACTTGAGTGTAAAGTGCAAACGTTAGGAAAACTCCCAGCCTTTGCCTTTAATCGATTACTTTCTTCTTTTTGTGTTTTCAAGATTTTCCCCCTTAACTCAAAATTCAGCACCAATACTACTAATTTTTCCCTTATTGTTTAGAATTACTATGGAGGTTATTTAAAATTAAGGTTAAAAAAACAATTCTTCATGTTATTCTTTCAAAAATTCAAAATAAATTTACCAAAAAAGAACCAAAATTATCATTTATCATTACAAATAACAATGTTAATACTCTACTAATTTCACTTTTAAAATTTAAAAACTTCACGTAATGAAATTATTTCTCTTCATCTATGTTACAAAATAAAAATTTATAAGTTCGTTATGCATGTAATCTACTCAAAGAATCGAATTCTACTTTATTTTCTCTAAATAAAAAATATATATTAACTTTTTAATTTATCTTGAACATAATTAGACCTATAATTTTAAATATGATAAAATGACACAATATGATAGTGATATGAAAAAATTCAAAAGTGATATGATTTAAAATTTTAATAAAAAAATTAACTTAAAAAAATTAAAATATATATTTTATATTTAACGTGTCGATATAAATTATTTATATTATTTATATTACTCATTGAAACAATAATGCCATGGAAAATACTAAAATTAAGTTAAAGTTAAGCTTTAATTTTTTATTACTACTAAAAATATAAAACATGAAAAAAATGAAAGAACCTTTTTTTTTTTTTTTTTGAGAAAATATGAAATGCAATTTTGAGTTTTGACAAGCAACCAGACACAAATGGTAGCAAAATTAAAAGCTTTGAATTATGAGGGCTCATCTGAACAGTCCATACTGCATACTAGGAAAATCTGTAGACATGAAATTTAGGTCATACTATTAATACTACTATTATTTTTTCTATTTTTTAATATTAAAACTACTACTTTTATATTGGAAAATAGAACCAAAACCAAAAATGAATTTTAGGTTCCTCATCGTCAACCTCAACAAGTTTTAATTTTGTTATATATATATATATATTAATATATTTTCTTTTAATAAAAAAAACTTGAGATAAATTATTTAGTTCTTTAAATTACAACAAAATATATAATATTTGATAATATAAAACAAATGACTATAAATCATATATTTAAAATGATTCTAATAAATAATTACTAATAAAATTTAAATTCAAAATTTTTTTATTAAAAATAATAAATCTTAAGTAATTAAACTAACTACCTGTCGATAAAAGAGATACATATTTTACGTCAAGTTAGTAACGTAAATGTAGAAACTACGAAGGATAGGAAAAAATAAACAAATGCATGCCAAAGCCTGTGCTGATATGCACCATCTGTGGCTCAGTTCTGAAATAATGAAAGCTAATGTGACGATGACAGATTAGACAAATAGTGATAGATTATTATCAATTTTAATTAGTGTTAGGTAAATTCAATAATTTTAAATATGATATTACGAGATAATATGAAAATAATGAAAAAAAATATAAATTTGATATAATTTAAAATTTGGATAAAATTATATATATATAATTTAAAAAAGTAATAAAAAATATTTATATTTGATATTGAATATAAATAATAATATAATAATTTTATATTTTACATTTATTAAATATAAAATACAAAATACCGATACAAGATGCAATATATCAGCCATATCATAATATGATTTAAAACGGATGCAACTTGGAACCGAAAATATCAAAACACACACATGAGAGGTAACAACTCCTTAAAACAAGCCAAGTTGTAAGACAAATTGCTGCTCATCCTAGGAAGCTTCCTTTAGTGACATAAATTTTTTCCATATGTCGTTTGACGGTAATATTGTTTACCTTTTGCTTTCTCATAAAAAAAAAAGTAAAAATAAAAAGCCCATTAAATCTTGAGTAAATTTCTTTGATCAGTCGTAACTTGTAACTATGTCTGAGTGAAATAGCAGCATGTTCTTCTCATTTTTCACCAACAATAGGAGAGCATTTAATCATGTACAGGGAGAAGCATAATCAAGGAATGTAGAATTACAGCTTGTCACATGCCAAATTTAGCCTGCAGAAAGAAGAGATAAAAAGGAAAAACAAATACATATCAAAGAATGCACCAAAAAAAAGAAAAAAACCTGCAAAATGTAGAGTAGGGATAGCCATGTCATTTGCTGAATTCAGGGAGGAATGCCACAATTCCACCACCATGAGCCATCAGATTACAGAAATGCATTTTTACTCCTCATATGAACATTATATTTACTTCCAGTAAGATGAAAATTAAAAACAAATTTCCACGGCATTTCAAGTTCCTCAAAAACAATATAAAACCTCTTGCAGGATTGGTCTAGCAATTCGTATATTCCTATAAGTAAAACATTGATAGTTGTATATTTATCATATTTTACACAAAAAAATTATCATAATTTATATTGACACAAAAGAAAAAAAATTTTTGTTAAACTCATATAAATTTTGCTAAAATTTAATCCATGTCATCTTCTTTTATGTTGTGTTATCATGTTGTATTTTAAATTGTTATATCATCTTCCTACCGAGGAACAGTTAAGACTTAGATCACAAAAACAGAATGGCTTTCAATATTAGCCTATCCTTCTCCCTTAGGCAGGTGCATGCAACCAAAAGTTATCAGAGGCATAATCCATCATTCTACCATAATCAGTGCTAGAGACTGCTATCATATCTAGATCATGGAATCAGTTGATAGAAAAAGATCTGGAATGAGTGAACAAATAACTGAATCTCTGACAAAAATATATATATATATATATATATATAAATGTTCAAGCACTCTTCATATACCAAATAGAGATTCAAAATGTATCCAATCTCTTGCAGACAAGTTGATTTTAACATGATTTCCCTTTAAAAAATTTGACTATAATGATAATAGATAATGAGTAAAAGGCATGGTGAGGGTGAAGGAAGCACATGCGACAAAATTCTAGCCTAGCAGGATAAGCATTTCGTGCATAACTGAGTAAACTGGGTAAGCCAATAGCATTCCGATATATGGATGTCTGACTGCTGTTGACTCGTCTATTTGACCTAAATACAAATCTTTAATACATAAATAACACAGAATGTTAATACAACTAGCATTACATCCCTAGGATGACAGAAGAGAGAGAGCATGCATGTTTCAGAGCAAACAATTTAGCGATCATCTGATCTGAAAATGTTTGCAAGTGGAATTTTCTTGGATAGTCAACTTAATTCTTCCCCCGTCATCAACCTGGCCACAGATCATATGCTTCAACTGGGTGCCTGTTCTTTCGCGGCCTGAGCCTTCTCCATGAGTTTCAATGGCGTTCTTCCTCCGTCGCTCATTATGCCCAGCCAAACGCTTGCGACAACTTCTTTTGGCTTCGTCAAACTCAGAGAGCTCATGGAATCTGCATTAAATCATTTTCGATCAGAAAAATTAGATAACCTTTTGTAAGAAATGAAGGTGGCAAAACGCTCCCGCACTTAATAACCAAGCAAAGGAGGCCAAAAAAAAAAAAAAAAACTTTAAATGAAATGAATGAAATCAACCTGAAAAGAGGGCAGTTGCAGTAAAATCCAATATCATAAGAAAAGTAGACGAGGCATGTTAGTAAAATCATCTGACTACAAGGATTAAAATACATAGTAAATCCATATTAAACAACTGATTAGACTATTAAATATTTAATTTAAAATTAATTACCATTAAATGAAAATAAAAAGTATCGATTTGAATATAAAATTATATTATAAGACATGAGATAGTATCACTTTAACATGCGCTAATCACATATAAGCAAAAGTACAAAAACCTTTTCACTTACAAAATTTGAAAAAAACAAATTCAATTTAAAACCAATTAAAATTAAGTGAAGGTAGAAAAACTCAACTTAATTATAAGATTACTGTATATGATAGCACTTCAAAAGACTCTTCAAACCAATCATGAATAAAAGAGGTTCGCAAATCTACAAATTATTAGTTAAATCAAGTTGTATTGCTTTAACCACATATGCGCCCCTGGTTTTCTACATAAAACAACATTATCTCAAAATTTGACCAAATATTCTGCCTCTATTATAAGTGAATGAATAAAAAATTCAATTACTAGCAGAGTAAAGGAAAGCCAACACCGTTAAAGTGTTGTAAAAGAATTTGTTCGACTGTTGTATCCTAACCTTATCTTACCACTGGAGGCAACTTTCACTCAACAAAAGATATAAAGCTTTAATCTTTTGAGATTAACCTCGTAAATCCTTTTGAAGCAAGCAAAATAAAATTTGCAAGTTTTTCCACTAGTATCTTACAAATCAAACTAATTGAACTTTATTCAACAAAGCTTCAAAAATTCCAACTTTTTGGGATCAACCACATGAATCTTTTAAAACCCAGATATTAATGTTCAAAAGTTGCCATAACAAACTGAATAATTCACATCATTTAAAAGTAAAAACAATCCAGCAGAACAAATAATAGAGCCAAAACCTGCTACATTGTTGACACAAGCGCTGCCTAATTCCAGCCACAAGCACAACCTGAGCCTTGGAATGATGTTCACACACTTTATGCCTCCTATGATACTGCTTTGCATCACTCAGGTCAGCCGTACACTTCTCTGCCTGACAACACTTCATAGCACCAACACCAACAGTAGCAGCAGTTGACCCCTTCCTCCCAGACCCACTACCATCAACACCACGGACGACCAGGCCCTTCCATTTCTTATCATCATCATCATCCTCCGTAGACCCACCAAATTGCCGCTTGCATCCATCATCATCAGACTGCACATCTGCCTTCCCTATCTTTTGTTTCTCTCTTGCTTTCATCTTCCAACAAAACTAAAACCTTTAACAATAACAAAAAAAAAAAAAACATATACTTTTCCACAAGTATTAAGTGTTAAAGAGAGATAAAAGAGCAAAACAGTGAGAGAGAAAGAGACGGAGACACAAGCACGAGACCCGAGTAAAGGAAAGAGGGTCGATGAGTTAGGACCACAAGCTCCATTTTTTCCTTCTCTTTGCTGGGTCTTTATCTGTATGTGGGCTTATTCTCGTGCGTGGTGGTGGCCCCTACAGCAGTTTTGTGTGTACAGTGAACAGTTGAAGGAAGGAAGTGTGGTTAGGTGTTTGGTTTATGTGGTGTTTTTGATGCTCTGACCATTATCTTCATATTCTAGCGTGTCACAGCCGGTATTACAATCTTTCATGTGTTGCTTTCTCTATTAATACTTTGCATTCATCAAACAATAATAATTTAAAATAACTAAGTATCCATTTTTGTTATATCCGAATCTTATATATTATTTTAATTATTTATAATCTATTCCAAATGGAATATCATCTAATTATATTCGTAAATTAATACTATATTAAAAGTTTAAATTCGTTTTAACTCTATCTAAAAGTATAATTCAAGAAGTTAAAATATAAAATTAAGTAAATTAAGTCATTAATTACACAAAATAAATTTAAAATTAATAACTTATCAATAAATTAAAACAACAAATAATAATCAAACGTAGAAAAATACCATTTAAAAAGTTTGTTTCCTACAATAATTGGGTTTTATACTAGAATTTTTTCGGGTATTTCATGATATGTCGGTTTGGAGTGATTAATATTTAATTTTTTAAAATGATAATCATAATCAAATTTATATTTATATCATTAATTATTATATTATAATCAAATTATAATCATTAATTAAGTAATTAATAAGTTACAAATTTTTAACTTCTTAGTTTAATGATTAAAAAAGCTTAGAAAAACAGATAAGATGAAGATCCGAATCTCCATCTCCTATCCTTATCTTCTATCTAGTGGATAAAAAATTACAAACTTAAATATAATTAGATAACCAAACATATATATAGTAAAACTTAAACTTAAAGATCTAAAAATTCTAAAACCTTGTCTTTATTACTAAATCAAAATATGATTGATACAAGCATCTAATCTTTAAACCCTAACCTTATCTAAAGGTATATCAAACCTTACTTGTACTATTCTAAACATGTTCAAAATTACGGTTTTAATCAAATTTAATCGGTCCATAGAAACCCATCCATTTTCCTTCCTACAACTAAAAGGCTACAACCATCCATCAGTCAACTCAGATATAATAAATAGAAGAATTATGATCCTTTTTATTGGAAATAATTCAATACACTTTTGTTTTGAAAAATTGTCATCATTCATTCATTATCAAAGAAATCCGCTTGCAAGGCATTACATGAGAATAATAAGGGGTTCTTCTATCCAGTACATGTACATATTTGCAGCTAATCCGTACTTAGCTAAATTGTGAGCAACTACATTCGCCTTTCATCCTACATGCATCAATGCACAATTAATAAAATTATTTATTATTAATAAATAATTAGTTTAATTAATTAAATTTATTTTTTGAATAAAAAATTTTTAATTTAAATTTTATCTGTGATTATTTATTGAAAATATCTTAAATATATGATTTATAATTATTTATTTTAAATTATCAAATATCATATATTAAATAATTATTTTATTTTAAAATATTAAAAAAAAAAAAACTGCCAATTAGTTCCCTGGCCTTATCAAGTATCGTACCTACAAGAGAAAAGTCAGGCTCCTTCTGCTGCACTTTTTTCTAGATTCCTCAAGTATCACCTTCAATTATTATATATTGAAATCCCATTTCTTTGGCAAAGTTTAACGCTTGGACAAAAGTTTTCGCCTTAACCATGAATGGATCATCAACCCTATAAATCTTAACAACACATGCCCCCATGAATCGGCTCTATAAGTCGCCGATGACAGCCCTTCCTCCGTCCTTTTTTTTTCCTTTCGATCCAGTGCGTCATCGAAATTTACTTTGTAGAAACCAAGTAGAGGCGATTTCTATCGATGATCTGTCATTTTAGCTGCTTGGTTCTCTTGTTCTTGTGCGTTGTTGAACCCCCTAAAACTACTTAATAAAGTTTGCCGCTTGGGAAGTTGTAGTTATTGCCTCTCCATGTATTTCTTTATTCCTGTTCGTCCAATTCACCCAACTCGTTACTGCCAGCTGCTGTAATTGTTCTTGAGGTATTGTTTTTATCCATTCCTTCAACCATTCCATCCTCGTACCGTTACCCTCATTCTCAATCTGTCTATCCCATGTGTAGTGGAGTTGTTGCCAAACATTTCTTGCCACGTCACATCTTTTGAGAGTATGAAGTATTTTTCTTGTTCCTTTCTGCATCGACTGCAGGTCTCTTCAGCATTAATTCCCCTACGTGCTAGGCTAGCCATGGTTGGCAATATGCCACGACAAGCTCATCATAAGAAAACTTTAATTTTGTTTGGTACAGGTGCAGACCAATTCTCAGTCTCTTCATTGTGTGTCATGTTGTTTTCTTCCTCCTCACAAAGCAGCCCGTATCCACTTTTAACTGAGTGTCTCCTACTCTTATCGTGGTGCCACACCATAATATCAGGGATTCCTTTCCTACTTAGTGGCATCGTACTTATGGCCTCTGCTTCATCCGCGTCAAACCTCTTGTATAACAGTTCCATTTTCCTTTTTCCTGAGTTGTGATCAATTAATTTTTCCACCAATTCATTCTCCATCAAGTTCCCCCTTGGTGATCGGATTAAGAAACCGTCATTGAAAGGCACCCATTTATTCTTCCACACCTGAGTCGATCTCCATCCCCAATCCTTCATCTGGTACCACGTTTCAGCATTGGTATGGATTACTCCTTCATGTTAGAGAAAGGTCACATCCCAACTTGGATTTAAGAAATGATGTCAATAGGAAGTATTTCGCCTTGAGTATTTGATGCGCCAATGTTGTGGGATTTGTTAATAATCTCCACCCCTGCTTTGCCAACGTCGCCATATTGAATCTTTCCATCTCACAAAATCCCATCCCTCCAAATGTTTTTGGCCGACATTTTTTCTCCCAATTAAGCCAGTGGATCCCTTTTTTTTTCTTTGTTCTGCCTCGACCGAAAATTACTCGAAATGCCATTAAGTTGCATACATGGTGTCGTTGGTAGCCGAAAACATCCCATGGTGTAAGTTGGGATAGCTTATACATAGATTTTAGGAACACCTCCTTGCCACATTGAGAGAGCATCCGATAATTCCTTCATGCTAGCCGATTATGCATTCTGTCTTTCAATTCTCTAAATGCCTTCCTCTTATCCTTACCCACCATCGAAGGTACCCCCAAGTACTTCTCCATATTTGTTGTGGCCTCCATTCCCATTGCTTCTTTGATTTCTATCTGGCTGCTGTCCATTGTGTTGCTGCTGAAATAAATAGCCGACTTAGCTAAGTTTATACACTGACCCAAGCTTTCTTCATACCTCCATAGCACATGCCTTATCACCTCGCTCTCTATTCTATTTGCTTTGACAAATAGGATACTGTGTTCGGTGAAGAACAAATGAGTTAATCTAGGTCCAGTTCTGCTTGCTTGCAGACCATTCAGCTATCATTCCATTTGATATTTATGCAGCAGTGATGATAATCCCTCTGTACACATTAGAAACAAATATAGAGGAAATGGGTCTCCTTGACGGATGCCTTTTTCTGGCTTGAAAGAGTCTGTTATTTCGCCATTAACCATAATAGAATAGGACATAGATGAAACACACTTCATGACCAGATTAGTCCATCTTTTGTGAAATCCCAACCTAGTCATTATTTTTTCAAGAAAGTTCCATTCTACCCGATCATACACTTTGCTCATATCTAGCTTTAGAGCAAAAAATCCATCCTTTGCATGTTTCTTATTTTTCAAAGTGTGCACAAGTTCATAAGCGACTAAAATATTGTCTGAAATAAGATGCCCAAGAACAAAGGCACTTTGAGCTCGGCTAATGCATGCAGGTAGAACAGGTTTGAGTCTGTTTACAAGCACTTTTGCTAAGATTTTGTATTGACATTACACAAACTGATTGGTCTAAATTGGTTAATACAAGTAGGTTGTTTTATTTTTGGGATGAGAACAATGTGTGTATAAATAATATCATTAATTTCCCTCTTCCCATTAAGACATGCTAGACAATAATTAATAATATCACGTCCAACAATGTGCCAAAGTTTCTGATAAAATAAGGCAGGCATATCGTCTGGTCCAGGAGCCTTTATTGGATGCATCTGCTTAATAGTAAAAAGGACCTCCTCTGCTTGAAACTCTGCTAGCAGTGAGTTATTCGTGTCGTTCGATACCCTTGGTTCAACTGCCTCAATTACATCATCAAAGTGGTCTTTTTTTTAGACTGAAATAGTTTCATGAAGTAGCTTGTGGAAATGTTTCTAACTTCATCCTCATCCTCGCACCAGCCCCCGTTATCATTTTGTAATCCTTTTATAAAATTTCTCCTTCGTCGTTGAGAGGCAATTGCGTGAAAATATGCTGTTTTTTTGTCCCCCACCCTTATCCACAGAATCCTTGCCTTCTTCTACCAAAACTCCTCCTTATTTTCTTGGAGTATGTTAAGCTTCTCCTTGATTTTCTTACCTTTTTCAAGCACGTCATCAGTCGACCCATCAACTTGGTATCTTTCTAGCTTCTTTTTGAAAGCGTCAACTCTTAGCCGCATATTTTTGAATTTTCCTTTATGCCATTTTGCCAACTTTTTTCCTGTCTTTTGTAAGCATTCACGTAGGCCACCATGCCTTGTATCCTTCCATGCAAGTTCCACCACTTGTCGACATTTAGGCTCATTGGCCCACATTGCTTCGAACCAAAAGCTTTTCTTTGTTCTGTGTTTCCTCTTGCTCCCACTCCCTTCAGTATTCATCAATATAGGCACATGATCAAAAGTCTTGGCCACGAAATATGTGAGTTCATTATTTCCAAATCTATCCATCCATTCTTGTTGGCTACCCCATGGTCTAATCTCTCTTGTACATTGTTAGTAGTTGTTCTTTCCTTTTCCCACGTGAACCAGGCCCTTTTAAACCCCAAATTTTCTAGTCCACAATCCTCTAGAGTGCCTGAATTCAATCATTTGACTGTCCCTTCTAAGGCATTCGCCAGATTTTTCATGGTTCCACAAGATTTCGTTAAAATCTCCCATGCATAGCCATAGTAGGGCACTCTTGTTCTTAAGATGTCTCAGTAAACTATAGGTTTCATGCCTCCTGCTTACTGTTGGTTCTACAT